AGGATCTATTAAATGCCGATGCACACAGTAGACTTGAGAAGTAGTTCCCATTTCCCATTTCATGTATGAGGAAAATTGCACTCAGCAAAAGTTACGCAACGTTTCTTTTTTTTTTTTTTTTTTTTTGTCTTTTTCCTTTTTATCGGTACCGGGTATCGAACCCACCCGACTGCCTGCTTGCAAGGCAGGCGCTTATGCTGCTGAGCTAAATCCCCAGCCCCGCCCTTTTTTTTTTTTTTGTCTACGCAACGTTTCTTAAGACCACACGACTAGAAGGTGGCCAAGTGCAACGTGGACCCAGTTCTGACTCAGAGCCCATGGACTGCCCACAACATCCGGTCTCCTCACTTGGACATTTCAGTTTCTTTCCACCTGTGGTTCTGTGAAGGCACGTAAAATGCCTGTTTAAAAATGCCCTGAATCTACACAAGCCAATCTTAAAATGACTACTTTAAAAGACATCTTTAAATTACTGTGTTTATAGCAAGAGACAAAATACATTAAGCCTTAATTATGTATGAGTACCAGAAATGGAATATGTATTTTATAAAGAAATGCTTCATACAGTAATCTTTTTGCTATTTTGTTACAATAATCACAGATCTTAGAGAGAGGCAAGATAGGAAAAAATGCAGAAAACACCCAACCAGAATGTGTGCTTTGCAAAAAGATCAAAATTCATGAATGAGCTGTGTGATCCATGCAGCTCTGGCAGGCAGAAGCCAAGTGACAGCATGGCACTGACCCTGCTGACCAGGAAGCAGCCTAGGGAACCCTTTCCTTCCCTCTAGAAGTCCTCAGTCACTGGGAACCTCCCCTAGCTACTAGCCTATCACAAGGTACTACCCTAACCTCGGCAGCTTGGCTCACCCCTGTGCTACATACAGCACACAGTGTGCAAGAAAGCAGCAGGCAGCAGGGAAAAGTCTAGAACCTTCTTCAGCCCATTCATCACCAACCCAAAGCCCTAAATGAGGAGAAAGAAGAAACAGAGTGTCCTGTCCCATTACTGTCCCTACTAGCAATTAGATACCAATATGCCTTCCCACAGAGTTCCATTCTAGGAAGCATGGGGTGCTGGATTTTTTTTAAAGGAAGAACACAGAGAGAAGAAACCCAAATGAAAATTTAGTCCCTGCCATCTCTTCTCTCTTTCCTCCCAACTCTGGTCCTAATGGTCACTACACCCGACCATGGCTTTTGCACCATTCCAAATACAAGAAGCACTGGCTACAACCCAGGGAACCTGCCTGCCAAGTAAGTGGAAGGGTGGAGTCTTGGTTTTAGTTTGGGTTCCAGTCAGAAGACAGTGCTCACAAGAGTACTTTTATCAGGGGGACAATAATTTGGGTCTGTCTACTGTACTACAAAGATTATATTTCAGACATATGGCTGTTTCTAAGGGAAAATTGATTGTAAATAGCAAATATAATTGTACAGGGATTTAGAGTAACTTGTGCACCTAGAAAGCTACATACAGAGATACACATACGTTTAATCTATGGGGTAGGCAACCTAAATTTTTCAATTTTCTTCCTTCTTCATAAAAAGGAACTTGAGTTAGAAGATAAATCTAGTGCCAACATGCTAGGTCATCCGCTGACCCAAGTACTTGCCACTACTATATTTTCTGGACTCCAGTTCCTGTCTTTCAAGTTGGAATTACAGAATCTGCAGTGGAATTAATGTGGCCTTTTTGGACTTTTCACCTTTGCTAGCGCACAGGCAGTGAATCTGAAAACCAAAGGTCTATTTCATCCTTTCTTTCTGGCCAATATGTCTTCCTATAAGTTAACAAACAGATGTTCAGACTTGATCGTTTACACTTCATTCTAGCACACTGGCTTTCTGGATGTTCCTTGTACAAGCCACGCTCAGTGACCTTAGTCTTTACACTTAACTATTTCTGTTGCCTAAGAAGGCTATTCCTGCCCAGACCACTGTACGATTTGCTTCCTTCTCTTAGTTCTCTACTCGAATGTCACCCACCCTCAACACCCTATTTAAAACACTTACCAACACTTACCCTGCCCCCAACATTCTTGATTCCCTACCTGGCTATATTTTTCTGTATAACCCTTACTTCCTGAAATTACATTACTTAAGTATTTGCCTTTTATGGTCTCCCACACTAGAATAAAGTTCACGGAATGAGGTCAAACCTTGCCTAAGTTGTTTACAGATACAGCCTTTAATCTTAGGCAGTGCTTGGCATGTAGGAGACCCTTAGTAACTATTTGATGACTATCTTAATATTCTGTATATTACTCCATCATCTTAATGTCTCTAATTCCCATTCATTCTATTTGAACACTGAGCAGAACTTCACAGTTTTGCCATTTATAATGCATCACTGTGCTTTTCATGTTCATAGCAACTTCCTTTCACACTACGTTAAGCAGGGCAAGAATCTCAACCCAGCCTGACCTTTTGTCTCTTACTGTTTCTTCTCCAAGGTATTCAGCAAAGGGAAAACAAATCTTCCAACTATATAATCCACAGCTTTATTGTTAACCACTAATTTCAACTTTTTCTCAAAGATTTATGCATACAAAGCACGGACATATTCTTGGACAACCTAATACGTAAATTACACTCATGAAATAATATTTAACCAGTCACAAACTTCTAGAAGAGAAATACTGAGGGTCTCTCAGTATGTGCAACCATAGCATGTCTATTTACATTGGCTCTATCATACTAAATCCTAAAGATGCTATCAATACTTTTAACTTTAAAAGCTCTAGCTATTGTTTCCCTTGTCATTGGTTATTTCATTTGTGTTATGTAAGTTATTTGATTACATCTCATAAACATATGCTTTCATTTTCTTTAAAAATTCTCACATGGACAAACCTTTAAGCCTCTGTACTAACATTTCCCTTTAACCAGAACCATTCCTCTAAGTAACTATACATCTATAGTAAAAAACAATTCCCATGGAGAATCTCAGTCTAGCAACAGGAAAGCATTCCAAGGCCATATAATCCAAATCACAGCCTTATGCACTTGTCTGGAATATCTCAGTGACAGAAAACCCATAATGATTCCAGATAACTTACATCATTTCTGACAGTGTTGTTTACAATTTCCTTCTGAGTTGTGTTCTATTTCATGTATATTCAAATCACCAGTTTTACATTTATGATCAGAAATTTAGATTTTCTATTGAAGTCAACAAGAAAAGCCTCATCTTGTAATCCTGGGGAGCACTACAAATTTGAGGCCAGCCTGGGATACAAAGTAAGTTCAAGTCCAGCCTAAGCCAAAACAACCCAAAAAAACTCTCTTCAGATTATTAAAGATAGTTTTCATGCATTCCTTCAAAGCCTTCTCTTCTAAATAAAATCTTACTAAATCCTTCAAAAATCCCAGAACAAAAGGGTTATTTATTTCCTTCCTTCCTTCATAATTTACTGCATTAGGATTTATGACAGGAACCGCAGAAAGACAGAACTGAAGCAGTTTCTCTAGCAAAGCCTAATAGAGGAGATAAATATGGAAACATAAATGGCTTCATAATATGAACAAAATGCTATTGGGAGCAAAAGCAAAGACCAACAGCTACTGCTGTCTGCCGATTAACCCGAGGCTTTGTCTTAGAAAATAAATAGGAATTAGGAAAAGGGCAGGCTGGGGGTGGGGATGAGTTCAGAAAAACATTAGTAAATTCACTGTTACTTAATCACAGCAGAAAGGAGCAAGGTAAAACTGGAAAGATCACCAACAGCCATGATCCTCACATCCCCTTCTAACACTTGCCAACAAGAATCTAACAGAGAAACAAAGCACAAAAGTAACAGCTAACTGGGGGATCGACTAGAAACTGCCTGAACAGAAGACAGGCAACAAATACAAAAGTAGATAAGCAAAGTAAAGAAGTAAACTAGGGCAGCAGAAATGGAGAAGGAAAAACACTCGTGAAAAGGTCTTCCTGCAAAATTTAATGTATGGCATATGACTGGGGATTAAGAAATATAAGATGCCGCTGAAAGTTCTGGTTTTGTGTAAGTGTGTAGCAGTACCATCTGGAAACAGGACATACTTTGGAAAGGGGAAGCTAAGGTGTGTCAGGAAAATTATGTTAAGTTGAGCGTGCACAGTACTTGTTGGTGGAAGAAGGCAAAGCTCAGATCCAGAGACACCAGCTTAACGACGTAAATTGTCTCTGGCTGTCCCGCTTAATCTTCTTTTTTAAGAAGCACGAAACTGCAAAGAGAAGAAAATGATGCCCCCACCACCACCATGGCCACGTCACCTCAGTGTTCATCTTGCCCTTGTGATTGAGGTCCTGGGGTCTCCTTTCCTGGATCAGAGAATCGTTGGACCCTATCTCTCCAAGTCTGCAACCCAGCGAGCCATGGGGACCCTTACCGCTGCCGGACTGTGGATCCCGCCGCCCGAGCGGCAACTGCTTTGCTGGGAGAACGCCCCGAGGAGCCCACGTTAGTGCCACTGGGAGTCGGACCCGGCTGTAGGAGGGGAGAAACAGACAGACTGTGAGCGTCGCGGCCTCGCTCCCGAACCCCCAAGCACCCGCACGAAAAGCTAGAGAAACAAGGCAGCCCAACAGAGCAGGTAAAACACAAGGCAGGAGTTGAGAGGGACCAAAACGGGAAGGCTGATACCATGCTGGAGGACGGAGAAACGCAAGGTACTACAGCTGACCACTGAAAGTCTGCCCGGCAAAAGAAGACTCGCGCCTGGAGAGAATAGCCCAGGCCCCGCCCCCAGACCCGCTGGCAAGGTCCTCGCTGACTCCGGGGCCCTTGGGTTGTCTCACAATATGCCTGTAGAAATTCTGCTTTAAAAAAAAAACCACTTGACCAGCCACTGAGTAGAAAATACAAAATGTTTGTCTCATTTCTTTCGATCACGCTGTCCTTCATATGACTCGATCACTCCCAAAAGGAGGCTATAGGCTAGATCAGGCGATAAATTTTATTGGGCAGCTACTAAGCCCCCATAGATTTGCGCTGATGTGGCCTAATTGACGCATGCGCAGTCGGGCGGTGTCGACCCTCAGCATCCAGCAGGGCTCTGCGGGCGGAGCTTGCGGTAGCCCCGTGAGGCGCGGCACTGGGCCGCGGCTCCAGAGTCATGGGCGAGAGGCAAGGCCCACATCCAAATGCTGGTACCAACCCGTCAGTGCTGTTCCTGCACCCAGACCTGGGCGTGGGCGGTGCCGAGAGGTTGGTGCTGGACGCCGCCCTGGCGCTGCAGGCGCGTGGCTGTAGCGTGAAGATCTGGACGGCTCACTACGACCCTGGCCACTGCTTTGCAGAGAGCCGGGAGCTGCCGGTGCGCTGCGCCGGGGACTGGCTGCCCCGTAGCTTGGGCTGGGGCGGACGCGGCGCCGCCGTCTGCGCCTACGTGCGCATGGTCTTCCTGGCACTGTATGTGCTGTTCCTCGCTGACGAGGAATTCGACGTGGTGGTGTGCGACCAGGTGAGGTGTCTCGGGTCCCCCGAGGTAGGACCTCTGCGATCTGAGATTCCGAAAGGTCCGAATTGGCCTGCAGAAGTCCACTGAAGTGAGACTCGAATTTTAGCATGGATCCTGAAGTTGCAGATCACGGCCTGTCCCCTGTTTAGGGAGCTTTCAGATGGGGCCCCGAAATCTGCACTTTAACTGGGTCATAGTGTAATTGAAGCAGATGAGACTTCCGGGCTCGCACTCAGAATGCTAGCATTAGAAGTCGTTCTCAGTTATGTTTTACGTTGAAAAACTCGTGTGTTGCGTTTCCTTTTTCCATTATTTTTGTTGACATTACTCCCAAGTTATACACAAGCCAAGCCACCCCAGTACTCATTACAGCGTCCTGTATAAAAAAACACCAAAGCTAAGCATGTCACATCCCTGTTAAAACGTAGCTCTCCCAATGGAGAACAGTCCTTGGTAAATAACTTTCAGCTGGGTCTGCTCTATATTCTAGATTTTTTTCTTAGCTATTTTTCAAATCCTCAATTTTAAAAACTAACATTTATTCAGAAGTAAAATTCAGGAGATTCATTTCCTTGTAACTAGGAAATACACTTTGAACATATCATGATTCGTGCATTATTATAAAAGAACACTAACATTATAACCAGTTTCATGTGTGAATGGATCGATGTTGTCATGAACATCCTTACACTTTTCTGTTTATACTTCTGCAAGCATATCATTTGAGTAAATTCATAGAAATAAAGTTGTGAGTCAAAGAGTAGTTTCACTTGGAATGTTAGCAGCAGTTGCCAAATTTGCCTTCCAGAGTTTTCCCTGTCTTCTTGTCCACACTGGATATTACCTACTATTTTAATCATTGCCAAACCAATATGTAGAAATAGCAGCCCCCTTCGTTTGTATCTGTTAAACTGTAACTTCTGCGCTACTTTCAATCATATTTCCTTAAGTGGAAGCCATTTCTTTTTAAGAAATGTGGACATTCAGCTGGGTATAGTGACACACATCTGCATTTACAGCACTCTGAGCCTCTGAGCCACTGCGCCAAGAAGATTGCAAGTTTGAGTTAAATATAGGCAACACAGCAACTTAACAAGACTGTCTCAAAAAATAGGTGGGGATTGTGGGGGTTCAATGCAAAGGCCCTAGGTTCCATCATCCTGCAAAAAAAAGAAAGAAAGATTTACCAAACATTCTGCACGCGTCCATCAGTAAATAGGAAACAGCTAAGATGTACTGGGTGGAGAAAAAAGGTAGGACCTGGAAGTAGAAGTGCTGGATTCAAGTTTCACACTCACTGTTTTATGTAGCTTTGGGTAAATTGCTTAGTATTCCTAAAGCAGAACTTCTTTGGGTATTATTTAAAAGAACAAGTGGTAATGTGATTTGTAAAGGTTCCCAATTAGTATAGCCTCTAGAACTGCCTGCCTGTAATGTATACTTAGTAATCATTATGGTTAATGTTTAGCACATAATATATGTTAAACTTAAAGTTTTACACATATTAGTACATTTCATAGTCACAAAAACTATGTGGTGTTTCGAACTATGATTGTTACTGTGTTACATATATTGAAGCCCAGAGAGAATTAGATTACTTGATCACAATCACAGAACTTTAGAACAAAAATCCAAATCTTGGAAATCTTACTACAGAGTCTAGACTATTATAGTTCTTTTATTAGTTCCTCAAGAGAACCTAGATCCTAGAACTGTACTGACCAATACGATGCCTGTTGAATACTTAAAACGAGCAGACTAAACTGATATGCTCAACTGTAAAATAAAAGCCTGATTTTAAAGATTTAATATGAAAAAAACAAAGTATCTCATTAAGATACTTTAGTAGTGATTACATTTTGAAGGTTTTAATAAAACATTAAAATTAGTTTAACCCTGAGAAAAACTTTAATATTAAATATTTATTTTATTTCTATTGGACCACACTGTTCAAGAGGTAATCAGTAGTATTGAAGTTTTAAATGTTTAGCACATGTCCTGCAAATGTCTGCTAGCCTTCTGCACCAGTCACTGCTCTGGACATAGCGGAATACAGAGCAGAAGTAGACATTACCCATGTGGTGCCCACACACAAGGCATTGAGGGTATCTTGTGCTTCTGATCCATTGAAGTTCAATTAACAGTTTTGTCTGCTGTTGATTTTACTTTGGCTAGGTATCTGCCTGTATCCCTGTGTTCAAGCTGGCCAGGCGACCTAAGAAGATCCTATTTTACTGTCACTTCCCAGATCTGCTTCTCACCAAGAGAGATTCTTTTCTTAAACAGCTGTACAGGGCCCCCATTGACTGGATAGAGGAATATACTACTGGTATGGCAGATTGCATCTTGGTTAACAGCCAGTTCACAGCTGCAATTTTTAAGGAAACTTTCAAGTCCCTGTCTCATATAGACCCTGAAGTTCTCTATCCATCTCTGAATGTCACCAGCTTTGATTCAGCTGTTCCTGAAAAACTTGATGACCTTGTCCCTAAGGGAAAAGAATTTCTGTTCCTCTCTATTAACAGATATGAAAGGAAGAAAAATCTGAACTTGGCATTAGAAGCCCTCATGCAGCTGCGGGCAAGATTGACTTCCCAAGTCTGGGAGAAAGTTCATCTGATCATAGCAGGTGGTTACGATGAAAGAGTCCAGGAAAATGTGGAACACTATCAGGAATTGCAAAAAATGGTCCAGCACTCTGGTCTTAACCAGTATGTGACCTTCTTGCGGTCATTCTCAGACAAACAGAAAATCTCACTCCTGCATGGCTGTATGTGTGTGCTGTATACACCAAGCAATGAGCACTTCGGCATCGTCCCTCTCGAAGCCATGTACATGCAGTGTCCAGTCATTGCTGTCAATTCAGGTGGCCCCTTGGAATCCATTGTCCACAGTGTCACAGGCTTTCTGTGTGAGCCTGACCCAGTGCACTTCTCAGAAGCAATAGAAAAATTCATCCATGAACCATCCCTAAAAGCCACGATGGGCCTGGCAGGAAGAGCCAGGGTGATGGAGAAATTTTCCTGTGAAGCATTTAGAGAACAGCTCTACCAGTATGTCACAAAACTGCTGGTAGGATAGACTCTTACCAGGTTCTTTGTGCCACACTCACTCATGTTATTTTTATGGATTATAAACCCATTTTTGATACCAGAAGAGATGTTTTAAAAATAAACTTGAGTCTCGAATCTGAACTACCTTCCTGTATACCACACCTTCCTGTGTATTTTTTCAAAAAACTAATATCTATGACCATTCCAAGTCTTATGATGTTCAGTAAATTTTATTTTCTCTGGATTATCATTTCTTTGCCTATAAATTATGAATCATACTGTCTTAACTGGTTTTCATAGTTTTAAGGAAATCATGATCAAAAGTTGATTTTTGGTAGAGTACTTGCCTAGTGTGTTTCAAGGCCTTTTGTTCAGTGCCCAGCACTGAAAAAAAAGTTGTTAATTTAGGGGCTGGTGGTTTAGTTTAGCGGCATAAGCACCTGCCTTGCAAGCAGGCAGTCATGAATTTGATCCCCGGTACCGATAAAAAGGAAAAAGACAAAAAAAAAAAAAAAAGTTGTTAATTTGACTTGATAGTATAATGAGAGCAGAGTTTCCATAGTTTCCAGAATCACTGTTCACTGTCATGTTAGTGCAATGTTTGTCAGTCAGACTTTTGCTTGGATTCATAGCAAGAGTGCTTAGCTTATTTTTTGTAAAAGATTTATTGTATTTTCTCACACTTAAACATGATAATAAAAGATATTTAGCATAGAAAGGAACAGTAAAAGGTTACAGCCTCCATGACCTATTTTTGTACTGTCAGACAGGGTACCCTAACCTGAAGTCAGAAAACTAAAGTGAATGTTGACATGAAGAGAAAATCTTGCCACACATGCACTATGCATTATATTGGCTCACTGTTCCTGTGACAAATGGATAATCAACTTAAAAAGAGAGAAGTTTACTTTGGCTCAGTTTCAGAGATTTCAGTCCATGGTCGCTTGACCGTGTTGCTTTGGGTCTGTGGCAGCACAGTACATCATGGCAGGAGCATGTGAAAGAGACCTGTTCACCTCTGGCAGCGAGGAACTATAGGGAGGAAAAGACCAAGGTCCTAATACCCTCTTCAGGAGAATGCCATCAGTGACCTCATAGGCTCCATGTGCAATAATAAATTCCACCACTTCCCAGCAGCACCTGGGACTCAGGACTAAGTCAAACACATGGGCCTTGGGGGACACTGAAGATCTAACCTGTAATATATCTTGTTTAAGGCTTGTTTCTCGGTGTCTAACTCAGGTTCTTTTCATTTGTACTATGGATGCCTCTCACAAAAGATTTGCCACATTAACCTGTGTTAGATGCTGTTACACCCACTATTTTGTTCTGCCATCTCTGAAGAACATGAGACACCTAAACAACACCCCAACTCTACCCACCCAATCAACCATTCTCTGTCTGCCTGTGGTAGGGCCGCTAACTGCCATATGGCCTTCATAATTTGCATTTCCAGCCTGCAGAATCAAAGCCAGTCAGCCGGCTGGCACCTCAGTGGTCACCCTACCTAAGTTTCTCATGCACAGATGGATAACAGGCCCAGAAAGAGGAAGGGACCTTAGAAGAACTACTGTAGCCCTCTTCTTGCCGAACCTCCTCCCTCCCATCATCTCTGCTTTTGTTAAGGACCTCTTGTCTCCTTCCATGTTGGACTCCTTGCTCCTTCACTCCTCACTTCAGTTTTCTGTACTCTGTGCACTGTGAGGTTACCAACCTCCGGACAGCTTGCCCTCCTGCTGGTTAGGAGGTGGGGACTCTGCCTATGGCAGTCTCTTGCCTGTCCTTGGTTAAACATAGCAGCCCTTAGATGGAGAGGAGGGTAGAATTTTGCACGTTGACTCCTGAGGGAAGGGGCTACTTGGAGCCAGCAGCTGTGTCCCAGTCAGAATGGGATGGAGGGGTATTTATAGTGAAGGAATGGTTTGGAACTTTCATTTATCCATTGGGGCTTTCTGATATTCCAGAAGTTACTTTTCTATTAGTAATATCCTAGAAGTTAAAGGGTTTTCTTCAACAATAAACTGTTTGGGCAACATGGATCAACCTGGGGTGAAAAAATAAACCAGGCACCGAAAGAAAAAGTACTTCATCTCACTCCTGGAACCTAAAGAACTGACTTAGAGGGAGAGTTGAACAGTGATTCCTAGAGGCTGGGAGGGATAGTGAGCGGAGGGGCGAGGGAGAGGCCTGCTAATGTGTCCGCAGGTACAGTGAGATACAGATAGAAGGGTGGGCGGTAGATAAGCACAGTGTGACCGCTGTGCTTAGCAATACTGTATTGAATATTTCAAAATGCCTAGGAGAAAATATTTTAAATGTTTTGCCCACAAAGAAATGATAAATGTAAGAGGTGATGGTATCCTAACTATACTAGTTCGTTAATTATAGAATGCAGACCTGTATCAAAACCACACGGTATGCCATAAAAATGTACAATTTTCATGGGTCAGTTAAAAACAAATTTTTAAAAAGATTTGACTGTGAAAGTATTTTTTTCCATGAGATCAAAAATAATCTGGTTGGTCATTTATGCTTTTTCAACACATGAGACATTCACATTTCCAATTAAATGTCCTATTGAGGTACATGCTTTGTTCTTTATAATAATCCCTATTATATATTGAAATTGCTTCAGCTTCTTTCTACTCCAATCAGCCAAGAAGAAAATAATTGATTTTAAATTCTAAAAGTAAATATGTAAGTTTTTAACATAAATTTGGAAAGCAAAAATGAAAAATTAGAAAAAGACATGAAAAAGTTTCAAAACTGATTAACAGTACAGCAAAAAATAAGCAATCTCAAAAAGAACTTTATTTTCAAACCAAGTTACCATGTTACCAGCTTAAAATCAGCCAAACTGTGGACTGCCTTTGCATTGTGGAACCTGGAACCCTAACTTGGCACTTCAGTTCAGTAGGATAACACAGTCTACATACACCAGGACATATGCTCCGCTCTGCCAGTGTTGTCAGGACTCTTGGTTGCTGGTGACCAGAAAAACATCCTTTTTTCTTTCACAACTCTTAATTTAGGCAGAAAAGGGAAATATTTAGGAAGCTACATCATTCGGAGAAAAAGTACATTGTGCAACTAAGGGAAGTGCAAAAATGCAGCAAGGTTTTGAGGTTCGAAGGAACTGGGAATTTAAATGCCATCCAACACCGCTTCATTATCTTTATAATAGATTAGTTTCTTACTTGTGGCAGAAAACATGCTCACCAGCAGCCACGTCTTCTGTCTGGTTCTGCCACCTAAGAGGACCTGACCCTCTTTCAGATGGAGAAAAGGTGTCAGTGAAGGACTATGGAGGACATTTCTTGGTTCAGGGTCCTTTCCTTTAATTAATGAAACAAGGCGCTGGCATCTAAGATCACACAAGAATGCAAGAATAGGAGAGGAGCAGGGTGTGTACCAAGAAGGGGAGAGCAAGCAGCTCCAGAAGGAGCACAGCGGGACAGGTAAGTTAAGAATGCTCGAAATGGGGACTGCTCAAAAGTTTAGGGCACCACACGGGTCTCCCTCAACAATTTTTTTTTTTACCAGTATCAGGGATTAAACTCACGACTGCATGCTTGCAAGGCAGACGCTTATGCCACTGAGCTAAATCCCCAGCCCACCCCTCAACACTTTTGCAGATCACTTCCACTTTCACAGTAAATCTTACAGTATTTGAGACAAACGTATACAAGTGACTGCAGATAAATAAAATTAACTGTTTAATACTCTTTGACTTGTATGTTCCACAGTTGAGACCAACTTTTTAGAAGGGTAAGTTTATTTTGGCCACAGATTCAGAGGTTCCCACCTACTGTCGCTTGTTCCAGATTATCTGGGCCTGGAACAGAGCAGTATTTCATGCTGGGAGTGTGTTGCGAAGGAGGAGGACCATTCACCTCATGGTAACTGGGAAACGAAAAGAAGAGCCTGAGCCCCAGGGCAGTATCCCCTTCAGGGCCATGCACCCCAGTGACCCGGCTTCGACCCCATCCTAAATGTCCTGCCACCCCCAATCCCATCATTAACATATGAGCCATTAGAGAACATTTACAGTCCCAACCCTAGCAACCCGCATAACTGCTAAATATTAATATTTCAAGACTTGACTTTCTCTTTATTCACATTTGATTAATCAAAACACTAATTAGAGGGTAACAATGCTTACTATATTGCATATTGTTATCTTGAGTTATTTGGTGTACAAGATATCTGCATTTAATTATCCAAACAATATCAGCATGAACCTTTCTTTTCAATGAATTAAGAGAAATTAGTAGTATAATTATCTTAACTATCATATATAATTATATATATATATATATAAAATGTCTTTCAGCTTCTCTAATGGGACAATATGTTTACACATGTGAGTCTGATTTATTTCACCTTTGAATATGATCTCTAGTTGCATCCATTTACTTATAAAAGCCTCAAGTTTATCCTTACTACTGAGTGGTACTCTGTTATATAAAATACCACATCTTTCTTACCCATTCTTCAGTTGATGGTCATTAAAGTTGTTTCCAAGATCTAGCTATTACAAATTGTGCTGCTATAAACATGGGTGCACATAAATTGTTTGTGGTATGATGTTTTTAATTCCTCTGGGAAGACGCAGAAGGGGAATAGCTGGGTCAAATGAGATCTCCAATTCTAGTTTTTTGAGGAATCCACACTGATTTCCAGAGTGGTTACACCAGTCTACACTCCCACCAACAGTGGAGAAGGGTGCCTTTTTCCCCACCTCCTCTCCCAATGTTTGTCATTGGTTGATTTCTTGATAATAGCCGAGCTTTCCAGGATGAGGTGGAATCTCAGTGTTATTTTAATTTGCATCTCTTGAAAAACCAACCAGTGATGTTGAACATTTTTTCATATATTTATTTGCTGTTTGTATTTCTTCACCTGAGAAGTGAGTATTCATCTCAGATGTGGGTTTTTTGTTGTTGTTCTGATATAGCTGTTTTGTTTTTATCTAACAACAATCTTGTTTTGTTTTTATCTAATTGGTCTTTACTATTTCATCAGACTACTGAGGTTGCTCTTACTAAACCAGGTAAGAAAAACAGATGGATACATATCATTCCCCACCCACCCCCCACTTTTTAAAAAAGATACTTGCTTTCATTTGCTCTTCTCTTTTTTGGGGGTGTCTCCATTGATGATGCCATTAATCCTTTTAGGGGAGGGTTGGTTTGGTTTTTGTTGTTGTTGTTGTTTGAGGCACGGTCTCACCATGTAGTTCAA